TTCAGAAGGTTAATATATTTTTTGAAGTTAGGTGTCCACCATACTAGCGATAATAAATCATAAATGTTTAAAAAAAAAAAACATACATACAAAATATGACATTAATAATACAATTTTCTTAAAATTATATTTTTCTCATATTTTTTCTATATATTTCTTACTGTCACTGATTGTTCTTAATTTTGTCAATGATTTTTTTATTTACTTTTATTGTTTTTACTTGCACACTTGTAGCACTTTGAGATGTCCTTCATGTGTAAAGTGCTTTACAAATAAAATGTATAATAATTATTATTATTATTATTAATCATTTCTATACTTAAAAGCCATATTAAATTATTATGGGATCTCATTCAAGCAGTGTAAGACACTCTCAGAATCTTTTTTAAATAAATATATGGTATATTACTGGCAGACACAAATTTCTGAAACATTTCTTGCAAAATACCTCAGAATTATTATTATTTTATTATTAATATGACTATTTCTCAAAAATGAGTACTTTTATCAACATTGATTGTGATGTTCTACTGACATCTGCTGGGCTAAAGGTTTGCAGACACATTTCTGAGGAACTCTCAAGAACAATCAAAAAAAGACACACACACACACACACACACTTTTCTTTCTTTCTTTCTTTCTTTCTTTCTTTCTTTCTTTCTTTCTTTCTTTCTTTCTTTCTTTCTTTCTTTCTTTCTTTCTTTCTTCTTTCTTTCTTTCTTTCTTTCTTTCTTTCTTTCTTTCTTTCTTTCTTTCTTTCTTTCTTTCTTTCTTTCTTTCTTTCATATAATTTTCTTCCCATTCGCAGATGAAGTCCCACTGATGTTACAGAAGTTCTGAACATTAGCTGAACATAACAGTCACTTTCGACGTTACATTGATTTTTGAAGACGTTTAGAAGAGACTGACACCTAGTGGTCGAGAACTGGAACATCCGCTCTGCTGATTGACCATAACATAACAATAACATTGAATAACATAGATTGTTTGATGTGTAGTAGACACATAATATTAACATTATATCTGTGTTATATCATAATATTAACATTATAACATACCTCTCTGTGGCAGCAGAAACCCTTTAGTCATGTGATGACCATTTGGTTGAGTACACTTTATAACACTATTTGTCATAATTTCTGGTGTATTGAGTTGGCGACTTACGGGGTTCTGTTGGGACAGGAGGTTTCAAAAGACTGATATTACCATCAAAATCGGTTGGGATCAACAAAAATCCTAACCCAAAGTAAAATAAATGGAAATATCAAAATTAGCCTTTAAAAAATAACACATATAAAAAATAACTCTGAAGTCGTAAATGCTGCACTTAGACACTGGTAGCCTACACCCGATAAGCTCAAGCCTTATTTAACTGAATTATGTTTTTAACTTTCAGCTGCTGCCATGTTCTTTTAATACTTGTGTCAACCATAAACACTTAAACAATACAAGGAGAGACAAGAAACAGCACCTTTAATGCCTTCAAATAACCAACACTGTAAAAAAATATTGTTGATTTAACTTAAAGTAAGTAACCTGGGTTGCCTTAAAATTTTAAATTGATTGAACTGGAAAAAGTGAGTTAATAGAATGAAGAAGATTAATTTAATCATCAGAAACTCAAAATAATAAGTTATCTCAACTAAATAAATTATTATAAAGTTGATTTGACAAAAGAAAAAAATGTTGTGATAACAAATATTGAAAATATATATATATATTTTTTTACAGTGAATACAATTGCATGAATTAATCTTGAATTGACCGGTCTGAAGAGGGAGAAGGTTACATTAAAAATATAACTTTTAAAAATGTACGTTAAAGAGCCTTATTCTATAGTCTAATACAATTACATCAAATTTAACTTTAAATTACAGAAGAATTAATTAATCTGTTTAATTAAATTGCAGTATTTAGATTACTTGGTAACCCATCACTGTATAACAGTAATTAAAATGTATAAACTTATAACTTATAAACAATATAATGTTCGTACTCTCCATATGCCGAAGCTCATCCAGTTCTGCTGGTGAGAAATATGAAGACCTCTTTTTGTCTGGCGCTGTTGCCATGGTGACTCATAATATCTGCGCTCCATTGATAATGGCTTTTCATAGTTGTGGTGCACGCGCTTAACTTAACTCAGAGTTGATTGAACTAACTCATTTCAGCTGTTCTGAAACCGAAAACTCAGTTTCCCATCTCAAGGTAAGTCAACTCAGAGTTCAAGTTTTAACTCAGAGTTGGTTGAACCTCCTTATTGAAACAGACCCCTGAGCCGAACTGATCAAACACAACAGAAATGAACATTGATTTTCAAATATGTTTTGAAGAGACTGACACCTAGTGGTAGAGAACTGGAACATCCGCTCTGCTGACTGAACAACACAACACAACAGGGTTTTTGAGATGGAGCTGACACCATCTAAATTTGGGTCCGTCCCTCGTGGATCCCCCATGTCCTATCAAGAAGTCCAGTGACCTCATACACCATACGGCTCCAGAATTTCAGTCCCACACTTTCCCCCCGAAATTACATCGGTTAATGCATCTCCAGTCTCTTGAAGAGTCAAAAGAAACTCAGCAGCGGTCCAAATGTCCTGCGTGGACTGGACACAGCTACTGCCAGTCGCTTTTTGTAGTAAAGCGTTTCGTGAAGAGCAGGACTCTGCAGATTCACATGATCAGAGGATCCAAAAAGGGATAGTTCTCTGTTTAAATCTAAGTACAAAACAAATCATCACACTCTAAAAAGTGCTGGGTTGTTTTAACCCAATTTTGGGTAAAATATGGACAAACCCAGCCATTGGGTTACACTGTGAATGCTAAAATACAAAAATGCACAGTGAAAAACTGTTAATTGGTTAACAGAACCTTTCCTTACTATATACGGTAAATAACTGTGTATATATATATATATATATATATATATATATATATATATATTAATGTAGTTTTACTGTAAAATACTGTTAAATTTACAGTTTTTGGAAGTGAAAAAGAAGAAGTCATTGTATAATTTACAGTGAAAAAATGTAAATTGACTTTCCCACAATTCCCTGCGTGACACTTCACATTTAATGTATTTTAACTGTTTATTCATAATTTTTTTTGTTTTTTTTTTCTTATCAGTTATGTTCATTAGGGTTTTATGCTACATTTAACATTGTTAAATTAATTCTTATTTCATTTTTAAAATTTCAACATTACCATGGTGTTTAATGTTTGTGTGAATGAGACTGTGCAGCTTCTATATAGTAGTATGAAGTCTCTTGTGGAAGAGCTGATAATGATGAGCTTTGATTGATCATTTGACTTTCATTATTGTTGTGATTGATGGCTGTCGGTGTATTGCAATTGAACAAATCAGATATTAATACTTCAAAATGTCAGTAAATTAACATTATATCAAATAATGAAATACTGTTCATTGCTGTAAAATTAAATACGGTCAAAGTCTGTAAAACCTAAAATGTTGCTAACAGGAAAACTCTGGTAACCACAGCTGCCGGAGTTTTCCCGTAAATTTAACAGATTTTTTTTTACAGTGTACATATTATCAAAAATTAAAAGTAACTGTAAGTTTTTAAGCATGATGGTTCTATAGAACCTTAAAAGGTTCTATACACTCTTAAAAAAGGGTTCCTCTGGGTTCTACAGTATATAGAACCCTGGGGTTCCATACTTGGCCAATAGAACCTTTTACAAAAAAAAAAGGGTTCTATATAGAACCATTTTGGAGTTTCATAAGCGGGGGGTGGAACCATTTCTGGTTCTAAATAGAACCATTTCTTCTAAGAGTGTAGTTTTCTCTGGCTTGTTGGTCTAGTTCAAACTGGTTTTAACTAGTAAAATGTGTTTTCAGGATAACGTTTTTATATATATATATATATATATATATATATATACAATTTAACTAGATCTAACTAGTCCATGCCAGCTTGAGTGCATATAGCGACTGTCAGTAAAACAAAACATGAACATCCCGAATACTAGGACACTCTCACATTCATGTATTTTTCATTTAAAAATATATCCTTTTTATAAAAATGTTATACATTATTTAAAGATGAACAATACTGTATTAATCTTATATTATCAACAGATATTAACTAAACACACTTAATAATAGTTCATAATGCACTGTGAACTGACATGAACATTTTAATTAACTAACATTAACAAGCACTCTAAAAAAATGCTGGGTTGTTTTAACCCAATTTTGGGTCAAATATGGACAAACCCAGCCATTGGGTTACATTAAATTAAATTAAATTTTTAACCCAATGTTTGAGTTTGTCCAAATTTGACCGAAAATTAAAACAACCCAGCATTTTTTAGAGTGAAGGTTAATGGATGCTGCAAAAATATATCACCCATTGTTAGTTTTTTTTAACAAATAAGAAATAAAATCTGGGTTGGAGGATAAAGAGCAAATTCATGATTTTTTTTTTTTTTTTCATTTTGAATAAAATACTTCAGGTTGTATTGGCAAAGCGTCTAAATTTAAGAAATTCACAGAAACACGTTTTCTTTGTTTTTGTTGAAAATTAGAATTTGCATGACAAATTTCCTGAATTGCATTTGTTTCTGTCCATCCTCAGACTGGCCGCTAGAGGCGCTGCGGGCGAACAGTGAAGAAGGGAAAAGGAAACCGCACAGAACACATTAAAAGTCCTTTCATTCAAGCTGTGCTATTTTCATGGTTTTTGCTACAAAACAGTGCAACTGATATAATCTTTATTTTCTGTCAATCAAGACATTAATATTTGCCTCACTACATAAACAAAACAAAAACTTGTCAAAAATGCTCTAGTTAAAATTCAGACCAAAAAAACAAACAAAAAAAAAAAAAAAAAAAAAAACAAGTAACTTGTGGGTCTAACAGAAGAGTTTTTTTTTCCCACATTCAGGCATAAAAAAAAAAAAAGTTTGGTCATAAAAAAAAAAAAAATCACTAAAATGTACTATTGCATTGAAACCGACAGGTAAATTAGTGTGCTTTTCTAACCCAAACGCGGGTCAGCTGACGTGATATCAGCTTCATAAAGGCATTGTGTGAAATTAATGGATTTGCAAACTGAGAACCTGCCCTAGCATGATGGCGGATGAGTGTGTCCGTGGGGCAGACCGCAACATTTCTATTGCATCGAGACATCAGGAAGAGAAGAAGCAAATTCACTGAAAACAATTTCTGGAGCTCTGTTTCTAGAGGAGAGAGAGAGAGCGAGCGAGAGAGAGAGAGAGGGAAAAAAATGCCCCGGAAAGACCCGCTCGTTTCGTCATTTTGAGACCCGAAGGGGAGGATTTCTTCATTCCCAGAAAATTTCTCCGCATGACCCGCATCATTTTGGGAGGAAACAAAGTGGCGCGCGCGTCTTTCCTCATTCACAAATGATACAATGTAACGGGCGCTTTGATCGCAATCATCCGGAGCTCGTGTTTGTGCGCGCGGTAAGATCCAATCCCAATTCTCTCTCAGATCTGAATGTGTTCGTGCACTGCATGGATCCGGTGATTTTTTTTTTTTTTTTTTTTTTTTCTCTTTTTGCGGATCTGCTTTCGAAATAAAGTTTTGCAGCGAGTTAGTGTTGCAGTGAATTGTTGCATGTGTCCTGCAGTGTGTGTGCTCGGATCGAGCCGAGGCTTTTGCAGCAGATTTGTGGAGTGGAGTTGAAATCAGACGGGGTAGGGTAGAATCTGAAAACACAAAAAGCACACGCAGCAGCCATGTTTGCTGAATTTTCCTGTGAATTTTTTGAGCCCTACTCTTCTGTGGCGACGGGATGGAAAGCGTGTCTCGAGCCGCTCGCTCGCGCGCGACACAACTCCACGCGCCGAACTTTGATGCAGGTGAAAGTGATGGAAGTATGATTACTGAAAGACGGGCTTATTTTCGATGAAATCAGAGTGTAAATGTCGTTTTCGTTTTTGCAGAGAATTTAGCGCCCCCTGTCGGTAGATATTTCGAAAAATTAAGAAATTGCAATTAATTTTGCTTGCAGGCATGTTTATTTAATTATTTTTCTACATATTCGACACTTCTTATTATCTTTGTGAATTAGACTGATTCGTTTGTTGACGTTTCAGACAAACTTCCTAATGCTATTTTGCATTCATTTTTTTTTGTAACGCAGCAAATTTTCTCAATGTGTTACTTAAATGAGAAGCCACTCTTCCCAGCTGGCATTTTTCCTTTCACGCACATATTGATTTTCTGTTTTCTTTTTGCACAGCCCAACTGCCAATATTGTAATGCACAGACAAGAGGGTGAAGAATATGAACAGAAAGCAGTCAAATGTAGTGTTGTTTCACGAGGGAAGTGAGGATATTTTTTACTTCAATTTAAATGCACAGGAGAAACTGGCATGTAACAGAAAATTCAAAATTAAGTATATTGTGAAAATTGAAGGAGGAAAAAAAGTCAACTTATTAAAATAGTCATTTTTGTTTGCTGTTTGCATTAAATAGCCTAGCAATTTCCTGTTCTGGGCAGCAGTCTTTTATTTTCTGTAATTTTCGAAAATCGGGCTGCAGATGAAATTTGATGACAGGTCCTGTTTTTAATCTCGTCTGTCTGGAGGGGAAAAAAATCAAAACAAAGATGTCTGTCAATACTTGTGCCTGAAAACAAAATGTATAAATGCGCCACTGATAATAATTCAACAGTTGCTGTAATCACTGACACACTTGCTATTTAGATGGACGTGGAAATATAGTTTTATCAGTTTCCCTTACTTGAATACACAAATGAGACAAATGCAGTATGCTTTATGACCTGTGGTTTTTATCTAATTTTAGAAAAAGGGGCTCAGCATGTAAGAGGCTTAGTTAAAAAATGAAAAATTTACTGTCATTTACTCATCCTCATGTCATTCCTGTGTGGCTGACTGACTTCTGTGCGACACGAAACAGCTTTGGACCCCATTGACATTCATTGTATAGACCAGGGACAACATGAGGTTGAGTAAATGACTGAATTTGTTATTTTTAGGTGAACTGTTCCTTTGATGCAAATGAAAAAAAAAAGAAATTCATCTTTAGTGGGCTCAAAAAGTCAGAGCACTACACTGTGAAAATGAATATGCTTTATCTAATCAATAGAATTGTGGCAACAGATTACAAGCAATATTATTAATTAAATTTAACAAATTAGAATTGAGTAATAATTAATCAAATTATTCTTTAAAAGTTAACCGTTTAAATTTAGTAAAGTTTACACCCAAAAATATTAAGAACTAGGAACTCTTTATTTTATATTGCCAACATTGAAGACGCCTGATGTTAACAAGCAGAATCACGGAAACCGCCATTTTAAAACAAACACTGATCACCATAATGGTGACTTCAGTTAATGTTTTTTTTTGTTGTTGTTGTAAGTTTTACTCATTTTCAATGGTTAACTTTTAAGGAATTAATTTGATTAATTATTACTTAATTCTAAGTTGTTAAATTTAATCAAATTAATAATATGGCTTGTAATCTGTTGCCACAATTTTTTTTTTGATTAGATAAAGCATATTCATTTTTACAGTGTAGTGCAAATGCTTCTCTTTCGCATTTTTATATTTTCATGCAACATTGATTCATAAGTTAATTTCAAATGTTTTTATCAGCATAACACTTTTAGAGAGCTTGATGAATTTATGAATTTCTTAGCATTTGTTGTTTCGCCCTTTTCTATAATGACATTATAAACTCTGCTAGTTTTTTTGCAAAACCACGTTGCGTGCATGAATTATCAGGTTATTATGGCACAAAAATGTGACCTAGAAATTTTTTGGACATTTTAAGAACCCTAAATCTTTACAACTGAAATAAAATCCCAGGTTTCAATGTGTTTAGAACTTTGGAACCACATAAATTCCATTCATTTTTTCCCGTCTGCTTTCTTAAGGAAAACAACATCGCTGCTTAAATGTTAAAGCATTTTTTTTAATGCTTCGGTTTAATTGGATCTGTAAATGCTTTGGTCGGAAGTGTCTATATTGGTGGATCGGGATTTGCTCAAACACCAAACCCACACTCTGCCCTCCAACTGTTACTAATCTAAGAATAGAATTTTCATGGAAATTTTCAGAAGCCTGCCTTTCCCCCTTTTGTGTAATAAATTTAGGGATTTTCCATGCGAGGCGTCTGAGCTCTGTAATTTTCCACTGCATTTCAGTGTCAGTAGATGTAAGTTGAAACAAGTGCTAATTTTTAACCCATTGACCCTTTTGTTTTCAGATCTTCCTCTTGTTTGGCTGAACTCAGGAGAGAGAGAGAGATATAGAAGAGAGCGGTGACTCCTCGAGCTCTGCACCACAAGGTAATCCTCCTTTACTCGGGACGTGTTCATCAACCTTTCAAACCACATGAGGGAGTTGACGGCGGTCTTCCCGTTTTACTTTATGGTGACTTCAGCTTTGAAGCTGCGTAAAGGACCACCGTAGAAGTGTCGTAAAGTAGTCTCGTCTGAAGCCGTGCGATGTCTATGTTTGAAAAAGAGCCAAGTTAAAGTCATATTTCCTTTCAAGCATTTACAAATATCATTCCCCAATTGGACTGCTGCAATTATTTTTTGTTCTCAGTGGAAGTGATTTTTTTTTTTTTTTTTTTAATCAAACCTTTTTTTTTCTGTTCTTCACACAAAGCTATTGTTTGGACTTAAAAGGGGAAATTTTTTTTGTGGTTCGGTTCAATTTATTCCAAAAATTCATTACCGTAATTAATTTAATGCTGCTCTTTGATGTTTTTATTTATTTATTTATTTCTGAATTAAAATGAATTTTAATAGGCCCCTCCACACCCCAGAAAATAAAATATTTATGTTCTCATATCATAATGAAGAAAAGCCTCATTAAATGAAAGAAAATCTTTTAGTTTTGCATAATCACCGAAGATGCCGTAGCATTTGTAATTGTTTTTCGGGTGTATTGGCGCTTTTCCGCTACACAGTCCCCAGCTCGACTCGGCTCGCCTCGGCTTTGTTTGGTTTTCCACGGTGTAAAAGTTGTACCTGTAACTGCTTTCGGGTACTTTTTTTTTTGTATCACCTCCAGCGAATTCTGAGCGAGCTGAGCTAATACTAAAATGTGACGTAAAAACAATGCCGACTGCTGATTGGTCAGAGAGAATCGTCATCATTGCACATGCCAGATGGAGTATAACCCCGCCATTTTTAAATAGTTTGGCCAGAGATAGTTCCTAAACTTACTTCTGTTGTTATGGCAACTCGGAAGACTCCGCCTCTTTACAGTAGTCGCTGTTGTAAATCTACGGTAATCCATTTGTTTTCACCTCTTCCCTAAATTGACTCGAGCAAAATGAAATGACTGAGCAAAATGTCGATATTCACTTTTGTTCAAAAGATTCACTCTTAGAAGAAATGGTTCTATTTACAACCAGAAATGGTTCCATCCCCGCTTCATATATGGAACTCCAAAATGGTTCTATATAGAACCCAGAGGAACCCTTTTTTAAGAGTCTATAGAACCTTTTAGGGGTTCCAAATACGTAGCGCTGATAGAACCTTTTAAGGTTCTATATAGAACCTTTTCTTCTAAGAGTGTATGATGATGTGAAACTAACCGTGTCGACCCAAATTGGATCATATGCCATATCTTGGGAAAACTTTGATCTATTGGAATGAAATTTGGTATACTTCATCAACATCTTGATCTAAGAGGATGCTCCAAATTTAGGAACAGCGCCACCTACAGGCCATGAGATTTGAAAATTTTGCTCATGACTTTTTAAATGTTGATCAGAAAATTTACGGGTTAAATCTTGATCTTGGTGTTTCTTGGGTCATGCAGGATCCAGTTTCGCTAGGACCGTTTTGAAATTCGATACATTTTTGTTTAAAACAAAGTCCTTTTTAAGGAAAGTCTGTTGGCGGCATATTTCAGAATATTGTAAATGCAAACCCAGGACCACTGTAGACATACACGACTGTGTGTTAAGGTCAATTAAGACTCTTAAAATTATAATATGGTGATTTGATGACCATTTGTAATTGACTTGAGGTTGTAAAATGTTGTGTGACTAAGTTTTTACCATGAAAAATATATAAAAAAATGTCTTAGAAGTGTTCAACATGACGACAGTATATATTTTTGATAAAATGAAGCAACTAAGCTATAAATTAACGCAGATGCTGCATGCTGTGTTTTCCTTTAAATCCCTTAGAAACTCCATTTATGTCCTGCTTTTTCCCAAAAGCAATGAATACAAAATGACTCTCTGATATTGCGGCTCTGTAGGATAATGCTAAGCCCAACTGCCTTTATGTAAATTTGGGCCTTATTTTTTATTCTTCTTGTAATTATTAACGTTGCATCACTCTGGGAACGTAGATTTCATAATGTTCTACATTGACTCCATACAGTCTGTTGCTCATTACAAACTCTTGCTTTCTCTAAACCGCCACAGTTCACAGGACTCCGAGAGGAAATTAATGGCAAAAATTAGTTATTTTTCTGTATACAGATGAAACTCGAAAAATTTGAATGTTTGGCTGATAGCATCCATGCCACGCCGCATTATGCAAAGGGAGCCCATACCAAGTACATATGCATGACAATACTTTTCAGAGGACTGATATTTCTGTTTTTAAAAAAATCACATTTTTCATTGATTTCATGCAATATTCTAATTTTGAATTTGAGGTTTTCATAAGCTGTAAGCCATAATCATCCAAATTAAAACGCATAAAGTCTAGAAATATCTCACTTTGCATGTAATGAGTCTATATAATATATTTTCACCTTTTAAAGGACAAGTTCGGTATTTTACAATTAAAGCCCTGTTTTAAGATCGTTTCTGATGGGCGGGTTGAGGACATGCGGGACAGACCCTACTATAGACTGTAGTCTTTAGCCTCTGGACAAAACAAAACATCCTCCGATGATGTAAAGTGACGATTTTTGCATCATCTAAGGATTTTTTCCAGACAAAAAATACGGGATATGAGGGTGGAAAGCACGGTTTTCTACTAGTGCAAAGCTTAATGCTAAATCCTGAAGTATCCCTTCTATTATTATTCATTTGTGTTGGTAGAAACTTGTGACATCCTTTCTTCTGTGTAACACAACACAAATACTATGAAAGTCCATGGAGTCTAAAACCTATTGACCAAAAAAAACATGAAGCCATTTTCCAGTGAAGTCATATTTTGTGTTGTACAGAAATGCAGACAGTTTTGGAGCCACACGGGGCTGAGATAATGACAGGAATTTCAGTTTTGAGTTAACGATCCCTTTAAGCCATGGGGATTATTATTTGACAGATTTATTTTAATATTTAACCTTTTAACTGCCTGTGTCGAACATCTGAATTTAAAATGGGTGGCAATTCATGACACAGTGAAAGTGAAAGCAGCTTTACTGTAAAGTAAACTACACAAAATGTATATTTTACAAAAATAATTTGGACTCAAATTGCTAGAAAATTAAAGCCACGTGTCTAACCAAGTTGTTAAAGTTGGTATCATGAAAAATGAGCTCGCTAAAAGAGAACACAATGGCCAATTTCAGAGATTCATTTAAGCGTTTAATCTTTCGAGTAATACATAATTTATGATGATGAGATTACTATTTAAAATTCTAATATTTCTTTACATTTTTGTTGTTTTTTCATTTGTCTTTATATATAACTTTCGATTCGTATTATTAAAAGGTTATTTTAAAAGTTTTTCTTTTACTTCAAAAGGCCAAATACAAGTCATTAACAACAAGTTATATTAAATTGTGTATATTATGTATATTTTCTCATGGTTTGGCTTTGACTGGCAAACTGACATGGACTCCATGCGATTGCTCACAACTGATGATCCATGTTATCCCAGCATGCTTTGTGAAATTTCCAAAGAGCATCTTATGTGCTTGAGTGGAAGCAAGAAAATCTGACCTTTTGCACAAACATGGTCAGTGTTGCAAATGTGCTTGCATTCGGTTAGTGACTTAGACGTAAAGGAATAGTTCACCCAAAAATAAAAATTCACTCATTTACGGGATCCTTATAGTCTGTGGAGTACAAAAAAAGAGTTTTTTATTTTCCCATTCAGTGAAAATCGATAGGTTGCACGACTTTTAAGCTCTAAAAATCATAATATATGACATTTCACTAAATATGTCTGTAATTTTGCAGTGTGTTGCATTTTTAGCTTGAAAATGAATTGGTGATTGGATCGGCGTTGGTTGGTTATAGTCTCAATCGGTGATCACTGTGCTACTGTTTTTAATACAAGTTTATTCACGTCTGCATCCCAACTCAAAATCGCTGCTCTGGGGAATATGTTTTTGCCCTTTACACTTTTGGTATCACTTTATTTGGCAGTCCTGTTCCCCATTTACATACTAAGTACTTATTCTGTCCATTACAATAACTGTGTACACTCTTAAAAATATTGGGTTGTTTTAACCCAGTTTTGGGTCAAATATGGACAAACCCAAACCTTGTGTTAAATGTAATTTAAAAATTGTACTCAATGACTGGGTTTGTCCATATTTGACCCAAAGTTGGGTTGAAACAACCCAGCAGTTTTCAGAGTGTAAAAACTAGGTACAACCCCTTACCCAACCTTGCCAAAATGTAGTTACATTATATTAACAAGTACTCTCATACTGTAAAATAATGTAACACTTCATTTTACAGTGTCCTTGTTACATTTAGCATTACTTTATGCATAATTACAACATTGCTGGGTTGTTTTAACCCGAATTTGGGTCAAATAAGGTCAAACCCAAATGTTGGGTTAAAAATGTAATTTAACTTTCACTTTCAACTATAAACTTTTGAATGACATTTTTAACCCAACATTTGGGTTTGTCCATATTTGACCCAAATTTGGGTTGAAACAACCCAGCAAGTTTTAGAGTGGCATGCAACCCTCAACCAAACCATAATCCTATAATAAGTACATGTAGTTTATTATTAATACACTATAAAAAATGCTTTTTTTTACCCAAGTTTGGGTCCGATCTGGACAAAATCAAACATTGGTGTAATTAAAAAAATGTAACCCAATGGCTGGGTTTGTCCATGTTTGACCCAAAATTGGGTTAAAACAACCCAGAATTTTTTTTAGAGTGTACTCAGTACTTAAATATATAATAATTACACTGCAATCATGACTCCATAAAAGAAAGTGTAACTTAAAATAAAGAGCAACCACATTTTTTTTTTCATGTAGTTACTTAACCAGTCCTCTCTTAGGTAAATACACGTATTATAAAATAAAGAGCAACACATGTTTCATGTAGGAGTTAGTCTGTGTACGTGTAATTTCATGGTGGACTGTGTTTGCCGTAGGCTTCTTGATGGTGT